TTTCAAATTGGTTCCATCCGAGCCAGCCCGGGGTGCGTAACGGTCGAACGAATGTCAGGTTACTTCTTTCTCTGTACTTTAATGAGACCAGCGGTAAATCGGTGAATTTCGACGCATCTTTTTTTTTTTTTTTTGGCCCGCAGGAGGCGCTGATGGCGCTGCTCGAGTGCCCCGTGTGCCGGGACTTCTTGCAGCCGCCCCTCAAGCAGTGCTCCAACGGGCACGTCGTCTGCTTCGCCTGCTGGCCGCGCCTGGCCCTGTGCCCAGCCTGTCGTGCCCCGTTCATCCCCACGGCGAGGTACGTACCCTTCCCCGTTCTTAAAAATACGCTTTTCTCGACTTGCAGTCTAAATTCTGGATGTTCTGGATATTAAATTGGCCTTTTGGGCTACCAATGTCGCGTCCACATTTTTTTCAGCCTCACCCTGGACGGCATCCTCAGAACGCTGAGGTTTCCCTGTCCGAACAAGGATCACGGCTGCAGCCTGTCCTTGAGGATGGATGCCCGACCCGGTCACGACCAGGTTGATGTTTTAGGACGACTGATGGTATTTTCCGGGCGATCGATACGGAATACTGGGTGTTCGTTTTGCCCTGTTGGAGCGAAACGGGTATACCAGCCCGGCTAGGGCCCTAAGGGATCGTCCAGAAATTACATCCGTTTTTCTCAGATTGATACGGCAAATTTACGGGAGCTCAGCGCCTGCGAGACTCGGGGTAGGCCACCCCGCCGTACTTGCATGCATTGCAGGCAAGATGTTGCCTACGCATCAGGCGCCATGAGAGCTTGCGTTGGATGAGCTGTGCTTGGGGGAGAGCGGGGGAGTCAATTGTATCGTTCGTGAAAGGTTTCGCCTAGTTGTTCAGGCGGAAATCGTATATAATCTTTCCGCTCTCGGCCGTTTCCAATCTGCGTCGGCGTTGGTAGGGGGAAACCGTCTGGTCTGGGCTTGGCTTCCGAATTCTAATCACTCAAACAGCTGCCCTGGTGGGCGTGGCTGGGAGCGGCCCGGGAGTGGCGTGGGTCAGCCGGTGCTGGCCGGATGCTGCTGGCTCTGCCGGAGCCGCTGGGGCCGCCGAGCTGTGCGAGGCGTGATCCGTATGGGTGGCGCCGGCGGGGGATAACGCCACGGCGGGCGACGGTGGGGCGACTGGGGCGGACTGGGGCTCGGGCCGGGCGAGGAGCTATCCGGTTTAGAACCCATTCTTACCGAGTCGGCGCCAGCGCAGATTTGGGGTGTTTGTCATGTAATGCCGAATCTCGGATGCTCGTCGGGTCCGGTTCGCGGCGAGACGCGTTCGGTAGTTGCGATTCGGGTCCGCGGGTCGGTTCACTATTTCTCGTCTCGATGGGCCGGTGAAGTGGTCGATGAACTTGCAGACTATCACGACTGGCATATATCGATAGGTTTCTTTGCAACAACGTTGGTAGATGTTTGCGAAAAAAATGAGAGCTAACACTGAAACACCACCCAAGTCAGTTTTACTGGGTGGGTATTTCTGGATAGAGGGAGACCATTCTTGACGCACTTTTGGGCCTCGGGTGCTCTCAGTGCGGTAGTGTTGTACTCTTGAGTTGGTATCCAGCGGCCGGTCGCGTTTGACTGCCTCTGGGGCCCGAACGACTGAAGGTAGCGGGCTTAGTGGTTTGGAATCAAACACAAAAAATAAACTAAGCAAAAATTACCACAAAAAAACTTTAAAAAGTTCACAACTTGATTTTTAAGTAAATATTTAAGTAAGAAACTCCGTAGGGGAATCCGTAAAACTACCCGGGCACGACTGCTTAGCGCCCATCATTTTCTTAGTCGGATACCTGCTGTTCTCGTGTCAGGTGTGCCCCTTCCGGCCGCGGGGCTGCCCGATGGCGCGGTGCGAGTGGCAGGGGCTGGCGGACGCCCTGGCACCCCACTGCCGCGCGGCCCACTCCCCGATACACGTGGACCGTCACGTGGCCGTCAGCGTCCCCTTCCAGGTGGACAGGGGAGCCTCGACCCTGGACGGCGTCCCGACCATCGTGCACCACGAGCAGCGCCTGTTCAGCCTGAGCGGTAGGTGTCGAGTCGAGTGTATACCCCTCCCCCTCAAATAAATTCAGCAAAAATCAAGAAAAAAACAGAAAAATCGCTGTACCTACGCTTGTATTTATAGTAAAGAAACCCTCGGAGGGTGTTCGGTGTTTGTGATCCCCGGAGTGTGTTGGGGCAGAGTCGAGATTCCACACATGTTTAGTTCCCCTTTGTACTTTTTTTATATCAGGTGTCAACCAAGGGGAAGGGCAGATTTTCCTCTTCCAGTCCCGTTACGATCTCTGGCGATCTAAGTTCTTCGCCGAGATGATCCGCGTCGCAGGCGAGCCCCACGAAAGCAAGTGAGTTGAGCTTTGGTGTTCTAATGGCCGTTCTTACACTTAAAGGTAGTGAATGTGAGGTTAGCCTATGTTCCTTTGAGATTTTGCCTGCATGTGTTCGAAAAGAGAGATCGATACCGTAAACACTGTAAAACCAACTGTTGACCATGTACACAGAACAGCGTGCATGCAGGTCCGACGCCACCAGCCACACGCCCCTTTTGTAGCTAACCAGTTGTAGCTACAGTCGACAGTCGACATGACCGCATGCAACTTCATTCGAACCAAAATTGTCGGCCCTAAGATCAACTCCCGGGCGGGGCAAATTTTTTCTTTGTCGCTTTTTGTCTCCCGTGAGGCAGGACCGAGCTCAGACCTCGACCTCGGAGGGGCAAGCTGGTAGCCGAGCTTGTTAAAGCGTGATCGTTGGCAGATCGTGGGGCGTGGGGATGGTCGGTAGTTCGAATCCCGTCCGCGATCGTATTTCCTGCTCTGCTGGCCTCGGGCGTCAGTCACAGCTGAGATCTGGATGCCGCCGAAAGTTGTGCTCTATGTCGTTCCGTGGTGGCCAAGTCGGTAGCGTCCGGGCCCGGTAAGAACCTGGTCGCTGGTTCGAATCTCTTCCCGGTGATATTTTTCGCGCTCCGCTGGCCATGACTCTACAGCCGTGCGACACCTGATGTGATGGGCCGGTACGCGAACAGTCGCTGGTTCGAATCTAGTCGACGGAACCCTTTTGCCCATCTGCCAGCCATATGTTTCGGGGTGTGAGCCACAGCGGAGATAAGCTTCAACAGCAAAAGCCTCATTGGCTCAGTTGGTAGAGCGTGCGCCCGGGACGCGGATGGTCGTGGGTTCGAATACTGATAGAGGCTCATTTTTTCCCATTTAGTAGTTTGCGGCGCGGGGACCAAGGGTTAGTACAAAAGACCAGCCGACATGGGGAGGGGGACTTGACCGCCTACTCACCCGTACCCGTACGAAAAAGTTTAGTCCGGCATCAGTCCGTTTTCGGTCCG